TTTATATCGTGCAGTCTATACTTACATTGATCTTATTGGGTTATTCAAAGATTACTGCTTGGCAAAACTAACTCAAAATAATTAGCTGAGTCAGTTAAATTGTTTTAAATTATTTTGTATTGGAAGCAACGTGGTTTGTTCGATTTAGCTGTCTAAATTAATTGTTCAGGCATTCCTGGACACACCATTAAAATGTATGTGAAAATATTATATTATAATCACAAACATGAATGTAAACAGACATATCAAACGACAACATCTCCAGCCAAGGGAACCCTTGGCTGTAATTGCTGCTGTTTAATATGCCTGCTTTTCATTCATGTTTGTGAGTATAATCTAATTTTTGTCAACTACATTTTATTGGTGGTAATACACTATGCGTTTGCACCCTTTTGTGAATTTTTTTAAAACCTAGAAAGTAGAATTGACCTTCAGGGCAATATGATTCCTTTTCCAACAACTCTCCCCACTGTGTGGGTGGTGGGCAGAGACCGACCCCTGATCCACCCTCCTGGTTGTGTGGCTTTGTCCCCTCACTCCCAGGGGTTCCAAACGCAGGCCTACCTTTTCCAAACCTGACAGCCAGGGAACACCAGTAAAACTTTCTCTCACATTCTTCACAGCTGCATTCGGACCAGTAAAGGCACCATGAGCCTGGATGTGGTTCATGTCTTTACTTGAAAGCCTCAATTATAAGCATGGCTTCAATGGGTCTCAGACCCCAACACATTTCCAACAAAAACAAAGACTCTTGGTCCCAGGCCTGGTGGTGGCTGCTCATCACCCTGTAGGCCTGTTGTTTGTCCTGGGCTAAGGAGGGAAGGTACAGAGGGGTAGTCTAACTTTTAAAGTCCTCTCCTAGGTGTGCACTGACCCACTGTCACTGTCTCTACTTCTCTCCACAGGCTAGGATGGTGAGCCACAGGCACCCCCATGAGGGGGAAGACCAGAAGTACAGCAGATAGATGTTGCCTCTTTCTTTTTCCTCTGCAATCTGCCTCACCTCCCTCCCTGTCTACATGCTGCATTTGTTTATTTTTTATCACACTTTTCTTTTCTTTGTTTTCTGCCAGTAACACACTTCCTGTCCTAGGGTGACAATGTTCACTTTCTGTTCTGTGTCTTTGAAGGAACAGCATTGTTACTCAAGGATAGGCATAAAGGACCTCAATTGGACAGTAGTTCTTGTTAAGCTGGTCCAGGTCCTGCCCTGCTTCTTCTCCAGATGGGATATGTACATGCAGTACCTCTCTTTATGTAGATACTCCACCATATTGCATCAATCACACTCCAGATCTGAATACCACTGTCATGTATCATGGTAGGAGGCCCTGAAGGTGGTGACTTAAGTATAAGGCTCAAAGAAACACAGGTGCTGCTATCTTGGGAGCAGGTAACTTCCAGGGTCAGATGCTTAATCAGGGTGAGCCTGGGTCATACACAATCAGGCAGAAGCGTGGTCAGATAGCAGGCCGGGGTCAATATCAAAGAAGCAGGCAGAGTGAGGTCCAGTAGCAGGCTGAGGTCAGAACAAGGGAAGCAGGCAGAGAATAGTCAGAGGCAAGCCGATGTCAGTATCCAAGTCCACAGAGTAAGGTCAGGAGTTGGCCGGGTCAGCAACGAGAGATGAGTCAGCATTAGCAGGAACACAGGTCATGGGGGAGCTGAAGAACATCCAGCAATTAGCACACACCAGAGTGTCCTTCAAATAGACAGCTTGGCGCCAATGCATGGTGGCACGCACAGCTGCATCTATGTTTCAGTGCACGCTGGGTATTAGCCTAAGTTTGTTTGTGTGCTGATACATGTGCATGAGCATTAGCTGCATGGGAGTGAGCATTAGCTGCACAAAAAGGAGCATTAGTTGTGCTAGTATTAGTCCTCTGACAACCATCTTTTTACATACTCCCAGTCAGAGGCCTGTTTCCTGGAATAAAGAATGTCCACTCAGAATGCTTTTCAAGGCTTTACTATGAAATAATTGAGGCACACCATATCACCCTCCCTCATTGAATGCAGTCTTAGTGCAGAACACTTCAATGCCATAACACAGAACATCAGATTCCAGCCATTTTTGCAGCAATCGCTTGTTGGTCCCCCCAGCTTTGGTTTCTCAAGACCCAAGCCCCGAAGGCCTACAATACTCCAAGTCAAAGACCTGCTATACAAAGGTCAGGGGTTTTCTGTTCCAAACTTCCCTGGAAGCTCTGTGCCATGTGACCTGTTTGCCACATGGCCATTAACAGAAAGTGGGGATAGAAGACTTCACCACTCTGCTGCATGGTTGTTTTGATGGTTAGAGGTCTGCTCTAGTTGCTGAATTGAGCATGTCACCACCTAGCTTTAGGACTTTGGAAATTAGTTCAAATCCCATGGATATTTAAACAGCTGGGAGGTATGTCTCCTGGCTGGTGAAACTCATACATACTACTGATCTCTGCAATCTGCATTTACTCCTGATCCCTGTACTCTGTGTTACATACTGCTGACCTCTGAACTCTACAACTACTCACCTTTAAACCCTGCATTACTACCTATGCTCCCTGCATTACATACTATTGACCTCTGAACTCTGTGTTACATACTACGGGCGGCTACTCTAGGCAAAGCAATGTACCCTTATGTCACTGCTCTCTTCCAGGTATAGGGCACGTTCATTCGTGCCCCCCGCCGGCATCTGCTGTGTTGTACACTAAGAGAACATGTTAACAAGTCCCAGCTAATGATTCACAGTTGGGAGCTGCCGAGCTCTGTAGAGCTCTCTACATAGGGAACAATCTCTCTGTTTCTCATCCCTAAAAAACAGGAATGAGAAACTGAGAGATTATTAAAAAGCAGCAAACGCTGCACATAGTAAACATTGTTAGGCACACATTTAACCCCTTGAACGCCCTAGATGTTAACCCCCTCCCAGCCAGTGTCATTAGTACAGTGACAATGTATAATGTTATCACTGATCAATGTATTAATGTCATTGGTGATGTCAGTGGTAGTTAGACAATACCCCCTAGTGTCAGTTAGTGCCAGATTGCCTGCCACAGTATCGCAGTCCCGTTATAAGTTGCTGATCACCGCCATTAGTGGTATAAAATAAATAAGTAAATAAATAAAAATTCCAATATATCCCATTGTTTGTGGACACTATAACTTTCACACAAATCAATCAATATACACTTATTGGGATTATTTTACCAAAGACATGTAACAGAATACATTTTGGCCAAAATATATAAATAATTTTATTTTTTTTTATTAGGTATGTTTTAAAGTTGTTCTGTCTCTCCAATCTAAGCATTCATAATGTGAACTCTGTAACTTACAGTTTTGATGAGATAGCAATAACTTCAACCTCAGTTGGATACCACAGTCAGTGATTCAATCGATAAGACATCTTGTAGATCTTGTGAAGTTTATTCCATAAACTGAGAGAATCTTACAACAATGAACATTCGATAGGGCAAAAGATCATAATGTTTCCTGCTTCATGACATGAGGCTAGAGCTGCAATGCATTTCTGGGAAAGGGGGAGGGCTATCTATACAGCATTAACTAAACCAAAGGAAAAGGAGAAGCAGAAACAAAATATAGAAAACACTTAAATGCATATGACAGTCAATATGACAGTCATGTAAAACATGACAACAGCAGAAAGTAAAAAAATTTTTTTTTTTTCAAAATTTCTTGTCTTTTTTTGTTTATATTGAAAAAATAAAAAACCCAGTGGAAAGCAAATACCACCAACTGAAAGATCTATTTGTGCAAAAAAAAAAATAATATAAATTTTGTTTCACTGTAGCATTGCATGACTGCGCAATTAGCAGTTAAAGTAGTATCAGTAGCAGTGCTAAATAGCAAAATTGGTCTGGTCATGAAGGGGGTAAAATCTTCCGGAGCTGAAGTGGTTTCAGACTCTGTAAGTACAAAAAAATTGCCAGAAAAATCCTCAGCTTCTTAATTTCTCTGTAGACTTAAAGTGCCAGAATTGGTGTCAGGGCGCGGGTGTTCTGTAGCATCGTGCCGGGCGGCGCATGCGCAGAACACCGACACGCTCTAGCCGGCGGGCGACAGGACCTGGACGAGCGTGGCTGCAGCGATGGCCATGCATGCGCACTCGCGATCGCGGACACGCGCCTGGCACCAATGACATCTCAGGGCAGGCTATTTAAACAGAACAGAGGTATGTCAAAATTGCCGTTTGGTCTTATCTGCTCTGTTCCTGATTCCTGATCCTGTGATTATTCCGTTGCCGACCTCTGCATTGTACCTAACCCTGCTGACTTCTCCTGATTAACCCCTGGCTTGCCTGACCATCCTTCTGCCTGATCCTTCGTACTAATTGCTGAACCTGGCTTGTGACTCCGACCATCCTCTGCTTACTCCTCTGGTACCTCGCTGCCCCCGCACATTACTGACCTGGCCTGCCTGACTACGCCTCACGCTACCCAGACGATCCATCCATCCATCCCGCATGGATCGCTCCCTGTCAGTAAGTCTGCCAGCCTCTTCACATCAAACTCCGTTTCTCGCACACCCCTGACGGTGCTCTCTACCATTGCCGGACATACTCAGGGGTCGCGACCTGGTCTCAGTCTGCACCAAGTCCATCCCCACCATCAGGGGCCCTGGTGAATAGCAGATTGGGACTTAGACCCCGTGCCCTGAGGAACTCCGCGATGTGGGCTGCTAGAGACACCGCCTGGCGGATCATAACAATTGGTGTCAGCCCTGCCCTGTTTTCTACTGCTAAATTATGTAATCTAGCCTATTCTCCACAGGATAAGAACTAATTGTTCTATAGTGCAAGATAAAAACTGGGCGATCCCCTTAAGGTAACAGGAGAGGTTTAATATACCATTAATATATATAACAGCTAAGAGTAGCTCATTGTTAGAGTTTACATTTAGTTTACGTTACTAATGTTAATTGTATAATAGACATCCTATAAACTGCTCCTTCTCTTCTCTTCACCTCTTTCTTTTTCTTTCTCTTTCTCTTCTCTCACTTACCTGCAGTTTCAAAAGAAATATGGTCCAATATTTACTGTACATTTTGGAACTCGGTGTACAGTAATATTATGTGGATATGATGTTATCAAAGAGGCTCTGATTGACCAAAAATATGTATTCAGCGGAAGAGGGAAGATGTCATTATCTGAATATGTTCTGAAGGGATATGGTAAGATCATTTTTTTTCTTTGTGCCATTTGTACATTTATTATTTTCGGCTCTTTGACATAGAATGTTGAATTTCAGAAATTTGCACACTCTTCACTTGTTTCTTTTACTGACTTGCACTCTCTCTATGCAAATTGGCAACAAGTGAGATAGGAATATTATGCCTTGATGCACCTAATGTGATCATGTATCTCCTAGGCATTACAGCTAGTAGTGGAGAACGCTGGCAACAAATGCGAAGGTTTGCTATTACTACGCTGAGGAATTTTGGGATGGGGAAGAGGTCAATCGAGGAGAGAATGCAGGAGGAAGCTCGGATTCTAGTGAAGGAATTTGGCAAAACTCAAGGTACAAAAAGAATTTGAATATTTTGTTTTTTATTCAGTAGTCAGTGCATCAATGGTGATGATCAAAAAAAATGTGGCAAACCAGAGGAAAAATTCTGATTTACATTTACTCATGTCAAACAAGTTAAAGATGAGCTTTATCTTGTTCTATAGATTTCTGCTCTTTGATCTTTACTCTGCTAAAGCCCACTCCTATTTTATAGTGTTTTTTCCATCTTTGTTACCCTGCTTTGGGAGAGACATACTCTATTTGCATCAATAAAATGATATGTGCAAAGTGCAGTGGCTCATAGAAAGTAGTCAGCAATCATTTTTCATTGTTCTGATGCCTCTAAGAGTGTAGTCTGATGTGGCACTTTGCTTGCCCTTAAAAAAAGCTTGTAGCATAAATTTTCCCACTGACAGTAACAATTCCTCTTGCCACCAATGATAAGGCACAATTCCTCCCACTGAAATAAACTCTGAGGCACTATTCCTCCCACCGATGCCATGCCAACAAACAGCAATGATGGGGCACTATTCCTTCCTCTGACACCAAAATCAGACATTATACATTTCAATTGCACAAAGGGACATGATTCTTTTCCGGACACCAACAATAGGGCACTATTCCTTTAATTAACATCAAATGAAAAAGCACACCGACGATGTGGCATAATTCATTCAACCAACACCAAAGGATGAGGCAATATTACTTTCACTGAAATCAGCTATGGGGCACTATTCTTCATCCCACTGACTACGGGCACTAGGCAATTTTTTTTAATGCCAATGACCACATATACTGGCGAATTTGCAACTTACACTATATACAGTATGGTCCCTCTAAAGTTTGAAGGACGGTACACTGGCCCCTTATTTAAAATGTTTGAAGACTTCTGTTCTCAGCAGATAAACAATTTAAATATTATTGACTGTTATAGACTACTGCAGGTTCTACATCATTATTGCCCTTTGCACTATAGCATCAAAATAACACTCTACTTCATGTTCTTTTTATCTTCTATTTATCTATTTATTTTTTAATTTTTTTATTTAATTTTTTCTTTGAAAGAGGCATCTCTCATTAATGGGTTAATAGTCATCGTTTAAGGATTGAGATTCTATTTCTTTGTAATTAAGTGAAAATATGACGACATATGCCTAACTGCTGAAGTAATAATGTTCAGTTTACTGCTGTTAGGATATAAGAATGCCTATTTTTTTTAATTTATTTTCTCTTGATCTATTTTTTTTATATTTTTTTTTTCACTTTGTTATCTCCGAATGGATTTGAGAAGTCCATTCTGTTATATTTTGTTTACTTATATTGAAAATGAATAAAAAAAACAAAAAAAAATAAACATATATATATATATATATATAAAATAACACTCTATTCAAGCATTAATACCTAACATTTAAAGTAAATAATTAAAAGTCCTCCTGCGCTTCTATGGATAACCCCCCTCCTAATAAATAAGCTGCTGACACTCAAACCAATAACCTAATCAGTGTAAATATTATATATGAATTAGTGTAGCGCTTGATTATAAATGAAACAAAACCATTAATAATAAAATATATAATAATAATAAATGTGACTCGTGCTGTGATCTTCTCAGTGCTCTTATACCACTATTAGCACTTAAAACAAAATGAAACAAAGACCCTAAATAGTATAATACTAATAATAATATTTGTGACAAGTGCTGTGATCTTCTCTTATACCACTAAATGACACTCAATTATAAATGAGATCATCAATCAAAAAATATTTGGTGATAGTGTCACTTCAAACAATAAATAAATAAATAAATAAATAACGGGTGACGGTGCCACTTCAACTTCATTCAATGTCCAATATTCCTATTGACATCCATCTATTCAAAGTGTTCTTTATAACCATGCATAGTGTATGTAGATAGTGCCACTCGTGAACCAACACACTTCTATCCACTTCGGCTGCAATGCCTGCTCACCTCCTTCCTGCGACCCCAAGGGGCCCACAAGCCTTTAGGATCACCCTGGATCCTCAAGATTCCTGGTTTTGGCGCCTTCCTGATATTCCTCCTATCAGGCCTCCTCCACTGCTATGCCTCCCAGGTTCCTCACCAGCGGTTGTCTGCACGCTCTCTCTCACAAAGATAGTGAGTGAAAAAAAACAGATCCTCCATTGTGTAGTATTTCCAATCAGTAGGGTTTATTCATAAATAGCAACAAAAGGTGACTTACATACGGTTGTACAGTCTTAGTGCGTCCCTCTCTGGGTAAACTGCAACCTCTGATAGTAACTTCCTGATAACCAGGAAAATGGCGTCCCACACCGGAAGTGCGACACTCCGGATACCGGAAGTAGCGTCTACGTTTTGCCTACGCGTTACGTCACGTACCTCGTGACTTCTTCTGGGACCCAGAAGAAGTCACGAGGTACGTGACGTAACGCGTAGGCAAAACGTAGACGCTACTTCCGGTATCCGGAGTGTCGCACTTCCGGTGTGGGACGCCATTTTCCTGATTATCAGGAAGTTACTATCAGAGGTTGCAGTTTACCCAGAGAGGGACGCACTAAGACTGTACAACCGTATGTAAGTCACCTTTTGTTGCTATTTATGAATAAACCCTACTGATTGGAAATACTACACAATGGAGGATCTGTTTTTTCACTCACTATCTTTGTGAGAGAGAGCGTGCAGACAACCGCTGGAGAGGAACCTGGGAGGCATAGCAGTGGAGGAGGCCTGATAGGAGGAATATCAGGAAGGCGCCAAAACCAGGAATCTTGAGGATCCAGGGTGATCCTAAAGGCTTGTGGGCCCTTGGGGTCGCAGGAAGGAGGTGAGCAGGCATTGCAGCCGAAGTGGATAGAAGTGTGTTGGTTCACGAGTGGCACTATCTACATACACTATGCATGGTTATAAAGAACACTTTGAATAGATGGATGTCAATAGGAATATTGGACATTGAATGAAGTTGAAGTGGCACCGTCACCCGTTATTTATTTATTTATTTATTTATTGTTTGAAGTGACACTATCACCAAATATTTTTTGATTGATGATCTCATTTATAATTGAGTGTCATTTAGTGGTATAAGAGAAGATCACAGCACTTGTCACAAATATTATTATTAGTATTATACTATTTAGGGTCTTTGTTTCATTTTGTTTTAAGTGCTAATAGTGGTATAAGAGCACTGAGAAGATCACAGCACGAGTCACATTTATTATTATTATATATTTTATTATTAATGGTTTTGTTTCATTTATAATCAAGCGCTACACTAATTCATATATAACATTTAAAGTAAACCTTCAACTTCAGACATGAAATAGGAATGAAGCATATCCTGCTATAGTGTGTCTTAGATAAGGGCACTAAACAGGGGCGGACTGACCATTTGGAAACTGTGGCACTGCCCGAGGGCCTGGGGTCAGTAGAGGGCCCCATGAGATGCCCCTAGTACCTTTTTCATAGGCTTTTTTGAGTTTGGCAAGGACACAGGGGCCCCATGATCACCTATTGCCCGGGGGCCCCATGAGTTGTCAGTCCGCCCCTGGCACTAATTATCATTCCTGTCTGCTGCCCCATTCTCTTCTATCTGTATGAGTCACTTCTGACATGTTTTCCTGACACCAAGATAAAAATGGTGACAGGGAGGGACCTCCAGCAGATTGAAAGGCTCAGGTGTATTCCTGTGAGCTCTGTGTTGGGTGTGTGTCTCTTACCTCCACTCAGCTCTCAGAGCTCCACTGAGTTCTGCAGTGTGTAGTTTCAGCTCTCTGCCCTCATTTGTCTGAACTCTCAGACACAAATTCAGCACTTTGAAAGGCTGTAAAAAAGAGAAGACTGCAGATAAACATTTACAACACATGTAGGAGGATTTGTTTTATTTATGTGAATCATCTAAGACCAGTCACTTCACTGGGTATATGAAAGGGTTACTACTTTGTGTCTTGAAAAGGTCATAAGACAGTGCCAGTATAGACTTTAGCTGCAGTATTGATTAAGGGCTTGAACCCCCCCCCCCCACACACACACCTCCTGCACTTCAAGTGCAAGACGTAGGAAGGGCATAGCCAGGCTTCACCTTTATTATAGCTTAAAGCGGAGCTCCACCCAAAAGGGGAAGTTCCGCTTTAAGGACTGCTCCCCCGCACCCCATTAAGGGTTGGCAACTTTGGGGGGTGGGGGGGGGAGTGGGTACCCGAATTTGACCCGCTCCCACTTCCGGTCTGATTGCCCTAGGCCAGTGGCCGGCAAGCCGCGGCTCGCGAGCCACATGCGGCTTTTTACACGCTTTAATGCGGCTCTTGTGTGCCGGGCGGCAGGGACTCTGCAGCGTGATCCAAAAGAAAAACAGCCAGGGCAGCGCGCTCAAATGCAATGATTGGCCAGTCTCGCTGCCACTCACATCCTGATAGCCAGTGATTGGCTGTCAGGATGTGTGTAGGCGGGGCAGCGTGACGAACGTGAGAGGAGCTAGGCTCCTCTCACAGTCCGCCCTGAAGACCGGAACGGTGCGGGAACACGGCGAGAGGAACGCGCGGAGCAAAGGTAAGTGAATTGACACAGGTGGGACTTGGCTTACTACTTGCTACTTACTTACTACTACTATATGAGGGATGAATTAATATGGGGGATGAATTACTATGGGGGATGAATGATATGGGGGATAATTATGGGGGATGAATTACTATAGGGGGGATGAATTACTATAGGGGGGATGAATTACTATGGGGGATGAATTACTATATGGGGGATGAATTACTATGGGGGATGAATTACTATATGGGGGATGAATTACTATATGGGGGATGAATTACTATGGGGGATGAATTACTATGGGGGATGAATTACTATGGGGGATGAATTACTATGGGGGATGAATTACTATATGGGGGATGAATTACTATGGGGGATGAATTACTATATGGGGGATGAATTACTATATGGGGGATGAATTACTATGGGGGATGAATTACTATATGGGGGATGAATTACTATATGGGGGATGAATTACTATGGGGGATGAATTACTATATGGGGGATGAATTACTATGGGGGATGAATTACTATATGGGGGATGAATTACTATGAGGGATGAATTACTATGGGGGATGAATTACTATATGGGGGATGAATTACTATGGGGATGAATTACTATATGGGGGATGAATTACTATATGGGGGATGAATTACTATATGGGGGATGAATTACTATGGGGGATGAATTACTATAAAAACTTATTGAAACTAAAAACAGTGTACCATCCTATGTATTTTCAGTTTTAAAAATGTGGCTCTCAAAATAAATTTCAATTGTGGTTTTGGCGAGATTTGGCTCAGTTGAAAAAAAAGGTTGCCCACCACTGCCCTAGGTGATCAGAAACAGAAGGTGTCCTCCCTCCCTCCCTCCCTGTAGTCTTTTGGGACACATGACAGGTCCCAGAAGACTACAGGACCCTTCATGAAGCGCAGAGCTACTCACGCATGCGCAGTGGGTACCCAGCTGTGAAGCAGCCGGGTGCCCACACTGAAGATGCCGGCCTCAAGCAGGAATACAAGAAGGTTGGTGAAACGGACTGCAGGGGACACACCGCGGTACCGAGGGACAGGTAAGTGATTGTTTTTTAAAAGTCAGCAGCTACAGTTTTTGTAGCTGCTGACTTTTATTTTTTGACAGGGTGAGCGGAACTCCACTTTTTAAAGAAGCTGGTTACACAGCACATGCTCATGTTAACAAGTGGCCATAGCTCTACCAAATAGAGCTGTAAAAGCCATCTGAATTTGCTATGGATTATATAAGAAACAGATTAAAGTAAATTGAGAGAGATTTCAAAGTTTTATTATTTTCTGGATACAATCAGCAATTTACTTTTCACTTTTGTTTTTCTGGAGACATTTTTAAAGAATGCTTTTAATACTTTCATTATCCTTTACAATTTAAGATAATATTTTGTTTTTTTGATAGGAAAGCCATTTAACCCTACTTTCCTGGTGAGCTGTGCTGTATCCAACATCATCTGCTCCATCGCATTTGGGAAACATTTTAAATACAATGATGAACATTTCTTAAAACTTCTTCATAATATCAATATGATCATGCGATTTATGAACTCTGCATGGAGTGCGGTGAGTGTATACGTGAAAACATCTGATACCATGAATGCCTGGTGCCCCTAAACACGCCATACCACCATTTCACCCTATTCCTAATCCGGCCCTTTAACACTTTATCTGATAACTAACAACAGTTAACCCCCATCCAACATTTTATCATATAGTCAAAACCATTTTACTTTAGTTGGCTTCCCTCTTCGAATTCCTGTCAAGTTTGTATTGCTATCTGTGTCCTTACTGAGTAGATTCACCTTCTTGATAATTGTAAAAGGAGACAGAAAGTGAAGAGAAATCCAAAATGTTATGTCACCAGAATGAGTAAGTAAGGTTATCTTCCAATCAAAACACTTGTCCCGGTGACAGTTATCAAAAGGGGAATTCCATTCACTTTGATTTTCCCTTACTTCTTATTGCATCTCAAGGGCAAGAAGTAAAGTTTAATTTTGCCAACAGGACACAGACTTGCAGGAGTTTCACCCCCCAATCTATCCAAAACAAAAAAAACGAGAGGTTTTGACTAAACATGCAGTTTAACCCTTCACCTAATTCTTGATAGCCTGGCCCATCAATTGTAGATACCTTTGCCATGCTCCATCCTTGATCTGCTGCTGGAACCCTTGAAAATACCTCAATGTGTGGGGAAGCCTTCTCTTTTTTTTTCTGACTACGGTAGCTGAGTTTCCAAACACAAGGCCCAAGCATTGTCATATGCGTATGGAAAGGTCATTACAGATTGCAAGGGAGTTTAAATAGGGCTACCCTCTTGGTTCCCTGGCAGACAATTGGGGTTTAAGGGAAAATGGGAAGGTTAGTATCAATAACATAGTAGTGTTGGGAAGAAAAAATGTAATGACCATCAAATCTGTTGTTGCTTCTTCACCAATCACCAAACTGTGCTACTTTACTGCAGCAGAGAAAATCAAAGTCACCAACGTCAATGTACTGGTTTGGCTGTATAATTTTCTGTACAATGTATGCATTTCATCTGTGTGTGCTTTATGTCTGCTTGGAATCCTCACTGAATACGTTTTCTAATATTTTAGTTTCTTTACAACTTCGTTTGGCTCATGCCGTATATGATAGGACCTCCCAAGCGTGGGGCACAATATCTGTCTGAGCTCAAGGCGTTTGTTGATGAGAAGGTAGAAGAAAGTCAAAGGACCCTGGATCCAACATCTCCTCGACATTTTATTGATTGTTTTCTAATAAAGATGCAGGAGGTAATGGAATCAATATGCCCACCCACAAGTAAATAATTTGTTTTTCTGTTTAATGTGTTTTTTATGACAGTTCTTTGGTGTGGTGTTATAAGGCTTTTAAAAAGACCATTAGAATCAAAGTTTCCTGAAAATGGCAACCCCCCCAGAAAAAAAAAAAAACTAAAGTGTGGAAGAAATTCTTTTTAACCACTTTACCCAGTTAAATAATGTCCAGTCAGACATGAGAGTATTGCATTCATAGGATAAGTTAATTAAAAAAAAAAAAAAACTGCACCTCCCTTCCTAGCTCCCCAAACATTTATTCATTACAGGTACTAGTGTCAGTTTACGTAGTGCCAGGGGCGGACTGACAACTCATGGGGCCCCCGGGCAATAGGGGATCATGGGGCCCCTGTGTCCTTGCCCAAACTCAAAAAAGCCTATGAAAAAGGTACCAGGGGCATCTCATGGGGCCCCCTACTGACCCCGGGCCCTCGGGCAGTGCCCGAGTTTCCAAATGGTCAGTCCGCCCCTGCGTAGTGCTTTACAAATGTATTATACATTCACATCAGTCCCTGCCCTCAAGAAGTTTGCAATTTAAGGTTCCTATCTCACATTCATACATACACATACTAGGGCCAATTTTACCAGCATCTCTTTGTAGCGTGGAAAGAAAACCGGAGTAACCGGAGGAAAACCCAAGCAGGAACAGGGAGAACATGCAATCTGAGACATCCTTCACGAGTGCCTGTTTACTTCAGCCAATGGAATTGTCTGCAGCCCAGCCAGTACAAATCTACTGTGATCTATTCCTGCACACTAATATCCAATAGACTTGTCTTCAACAGGGAAACAGACAAAACAGATTTTTAGCAGTTTGAGGAAAGATTAAAACTTCTGACAATGCTTTTATTGTTGTCTCTTCCTTCCCGGTAACAACTGTTCCACCCATTTCTGGTTCATAGTTCCTGTACACATCTCTTGCCCCCATTTCTTGGAAGATAGAGTGTTTACTGTGAGTGATATGCCTGTTTACCTTGAGTGGTATGCCCATGTGACACCATTGTAGCTAAACTTCACTGGAGAAATAATACATATTTCTATGCTTTTTGTACACATTTCTCACATGATATGGGCAGCACAATGGCTAAGTGATTAACACTTCTGCCAAATAGCACTAGCACCATTGGTTTGAATCCCAACCATGGCACTACCTGCCAGGAGGCTGCATGTTCTCCCTTTGCCTGTGTGGGTTTCCTCTGGGTAGTCCGGTTTCCTTCCTCACTCCAAAGACATGCAGGTAGGTTAATTGGTTCCTGTCCAAATTTGCCATAGTATGTGTCTGTATGTGAGTTAGGGACCTTAGATTGTAAGGTTCTTGAGGGCAGGGGCTGATGTGAATGTACAATATATGTGGAAAGCACTGCATGAGTTGACGGTTCTATATACGTACCTATAATAAATAAACAGAGCAAACTTAAAATGGATTGTACTATGTAAGTTAAAATATTTATATATTCCTAAAAATCAGTAATTGCAATTTGAAACAAGCCCTAATTTACCTCTGTAGCTCTAAGCAATATGAAGAAATTTATTTTCAAAGTTCACAACAGAAACAATGAAATATCAGCTACTGAGAGCAGATCTTTGTATCCTGGCAGCCATCTTATGTAAACAAACACCAGGTGCTTGTACAATGGTAGAAAAGGACTGAAACTTGATTTAGAGTTTTTTTTTGTTATGTTTTAGGAATATTCCACAGTACAAGCAGCTAGAGGGGTCAATGAGGGTTTGTTTTAAAGCTCTTTTACTGCTGGTAAAGGTTATGGATGTTTTTGTTTCCCAATACCCATATGATATTTGGTCCAACTTTTATATTCAACTGCAACCATGGTAAGCCATGTAAATGCTTTTAATATGTGTTACCATAGAAATCTTGCTGGGTCTATTTGAATAGCAAACTATACACTTATCACTAAAAGGCAGCTAAATAAAAAACCTGGTCTGCAATCAACAAATATAAATAATTTGTCAATGGTATTATACTGTACAATACCGTGCTGCTGTGTTTTCTTGCAGGAAAAAGAAAATCCTAACACAGAGTTTCACATGCAGAACCTTGTGGCTTCGGCTTCAAACTTGTTATTTGCTGGAACCGAAACTATCAGCACAACTGTTCGCTACGGCTTACTCATCCTGCTCAAATATCCAGAAGTTCAAGGTACAGTGGAAATCATATGTTAGATTGTACACCTGGAGCCTGGTGATGTTTCAGGAGATTTACCCCTATATGGGGGGGAGTTGTTGATAGGGAGGTATGTTTCTTGTGGGGAGGCTATTGTTGCTGAGGAGGGGTCTTTTGCTGCTGGCTTCACTGGTATCTACTTCACTGCTTTTCTTGTTATCATGAACAAATTCCATAGCACCACAAAATCAATGGTTCTGTATTCTCTAAAAGGAGCAGTTCTTGGAGGTGGGCAACCAAGGGATGGTGCTTAGAGGTGGGTAGGGGGGCGGAGACAAGGGGTGACTTGGAAGGAGGGAGTACCTGCTCCTATTCTCTGAGATAAAAAGCTCTGCTTTCAGGTGATAGGCACAGTAAAATTGCATCCCCTCCACGGAACTTGTTGATGTGCTACTTCTGCTTTGGCAGAAGACTCTTACTGGAGTGTAGGATTTTACATTGTTTGGCTCTTTTTTCAGAGTCACTGGTTGTGTGGGAGTTACAGTACAGGTAGTGTCAGAACAAGGTGACAAGCCATAAAGTAGAGACAAGGCCAGAACAAGCTGGAGGTCAGGGCTAGTAGTAGATAAGCATGGTCGATAAACAAGCTGAAGATCAGGGCACGTAGGCTGGTGAGCATTAACCAAAATTAGTCCAAGCTGTAATCAGAGGAAACCAGGACTACCAGATACCAAAAATGAGCCAAGAGACACATGCTTAGAACAGGCCCAGTTGTACCAGATAATCAGAATTACATACGTAATAGCAGCCTTGCAGGTCAGGATTTAGACACACTGACCAAGTGCTCTGTTTCCAATTTAAACTTCTCTGATTGAGACCAGATGTGGTGCTGTAGCATGACTTTTACAGTGCTGAATATCATTAAGCAGATGGTTAGGGCAAGCAAGTCCAGCAGGTTTGAACACCTCTGCAAAACTGATAATAAATACACAACTGTGGATAGATTTTCACAAAATCTGTCATAAATTGCCACAATGCACTGCTTCATTTAAAGGAACCATAGACAATGAAGTCAAGCTGGAAATACAAGCACAAATCTGCCTCCACCAGCCACTTGAGTCTGTGGAGTTAGACCAGCCTCTTGGTGCGAAACCTGCACCCCAAGGACCACATGCAGTCCTTTGGTTCTTGTTGTAAAGGGGTAATAACAATGATTTTTACAATCCTTACACAGCAAATACCAAGTCTCTTGCTGTCTTCTGCAGCATGGCAGGAAACAAAACCTTTACCACAGTCTCTGACCATCATTTCCTCTTGGACGTCCACAGCTGAACAGGATGTCCAATCTCTGAACATCAATAGGGGCAGATCCGGCCCAACTTTGCTTACCTTTGTTATGCTGGTGCTGGAAGTATAAATAAGGGAAGATAAGTTCTCAGTCCTAAATTCCATGTTATCATAAAAGCAAATGAAAAATATAAAGTCATATAGTAATCAACTACTTGGACACAGTGGAGAGAGAAAAGCTGTGGATGTTTACTGTCCTTATACCCATAATATATGCCTTAATTACAGTAGCATCGGTGAGAGTCTCAAAGATACACATAAAGCTCAAGACAAACTTCCAATTTATACAGTATATAGGTTTCTACGTCTTGAGATTTATGTGTATCTTTGAGACTCTCACCGATGCCATGGTATCTAAGGCATATATTGTGGGTATAAGGACAGTAAATATTCGCAGATTTTCTCTCTCCACTGTGTCCAAGTAGTTGGTTACTAGATGACTTTATATTTTTTAATTTGCTTTTATGATAACATGGAATTCAGGACTGAAAACTTATGGGTAGAAAGACAGTAAACTTCCAATATACACTCACTGGCCACTTTATAAGGTACACCTGTTCGATTGCTTGGTAATTGTTAATCAGCCAATCACATAGCAGCAACTCAATGCATTTATGCATCTAGATGTGGTGAAAAGGACTTGAAGTTCAAACAGAGCATTAGAATAGGGAAGAAAGGGGATTTAAGTGATTTTGAACGTGGCATGGTTGTTGGTACCAGAAGGGCTGGTCTGAGTATTTAAAAAACTGCTGATGTACTGGGATTTTCACACACAACCATCGCTAGGATTTACAGAAAATGGTCCAAAAAAAAGAAAATATTCAGTGAGCGGCAGTTGTGTGGATGAAAATGCCTTGTTAATGTCAGAGGTCAAAGGAGAATGGGTAGACAAATGTTGCGAAATTCAGATTCAGGTAGGGTCAGAATTTGGCATAAACATAAAAGCATGGAACATGAAGGCTGCAGGAAGTGTACTTTGCCTTGGTGTTTGTCCATGTCTTCCTGACCTGGGTCTCTGCATCCTAATCCTGACCTGCTCTTTGTGATGATCTCCCATATATGACCCTGGCTTTCCATGATTCTCTGGTTTGATTAATGCAGTTCTGATATATTAGAGGTGTGTTTATAGTTCTGTTATTCACCTATTCTTAATTAATTACATCATTTTACATTATACATGTGCCTGGTGTTCTCTGTGAAAGTCCACACATGTCTGTTTCACAGGATACCAACACTTGGTATCCCTGACATAGCACCAAGGCCAGGAAAGACCAGAAGTGGCTGCACAGGGAGGCCGTCTTGGCTCTGCTGTTTTTTGCTGCAAGATGCATCCTGAGGAGGTATATTATGCTTTTGCTAGTGACAGAGGAAAGGGAATATTGCTGCCAAATACTAAAGGAGTGGACCAGGGATCAGCCGTTAGACTACATTTGTCTGGCTCATTCCCTATTTGATCATGGCAGGATGTTGTTTTGTGATGTTCAGCCTTTGATTCATGTTTGTACAGAGCTGGCTTTGTGCCGTATTCCTAAGGATAGTGATGACTTTTCTCCTCCCTTTAGTATGGCTCAGGCGAAATCGATGGTTGGAGGATGATTCAGATAATTTCTGTAAACAGTATTCAACATGTTCCCAACAGGTGCTAGTGGATTGTATTAACACAGTGCAGTCTTGAGTCAGATAAGAGAGTGTAAACTGAGTTTTGTTCAACCATCACTTCAAGCCTGGTCAGATCTATTGCACTTTAGTCGCTTGCAGTAACCTACTCCTGCTGCTAGACACCCGCTTTCTTAAGTATCTCCCTCTTTGTCACCCACAGCAACCACCCTTGCAGCCCAGTATACTCTGCTTCCAACTTTTTGTCAGTACTATGTTTCCACTCGCTGCACCTTCCCTGCCCACGACAACCCCTCAGAAATCCTACTTAGCAACTGCTCCCTCTTTTTTCACCATCCCTCAGTTCTGCTCTTTCATCGGCTGCACCCTCTGCTCACAGCCCTACTATCACATGTAAAACATCAGTGGCTAAACCCAAGAAGAAATGGAAGTTTTTCCTGACACACACAATTCTACCACTATCCATGCCTGCCTCCACACCAGCAGATCTGGTCGAGCCTGCCTCTACTCTGGCCGAATCGGTCCAGCCTGCCTCTATGCCAGCCGATCCAATCCAGCCCGCCTCTATGTCAGCTGATCTGGTCCAGCCTGCCACCATGCTAGTGGCTCTTGTCCATCCCATGCCAATCATGCCTTCTGGCTTTTCATACTTGGAACTCTCAGTAACCAAGCCTCACCCTACTGCAATTATATTTGTTCAAGCCTGTGTTAGGTGTTTTTATCCCTCCTTGGGACAGACTGACTCATTTGGCCAAGTGGCTACTATGCATCAAACCCATATTCCAGCTTCCCAGTCTGATTCTTCAACCTGCTACCCAAATCCAGGCTGATTTCGTTGATCCTTTGCCTGACCTTGCTGACCCTCTGACCACTGTCCAGCCTGGAGGTCCTGTTCTTGATGTCTAGCCTGGTAGTCCTGTTTCTGATGCCCGGCCTGGTGGTCTGCTGCCTGTTGCCCAACCAGAGAGTCCTGTGCCTTTTGCCCAGCCAGTGGGTCCTGTGCCTATTGCCCAGCAGGACGGTCCTGTGCTTGATGTCCCATCCACCTCTGATGGTCCTGTGCCTGATGACCTGAGTGCCTCTGACAGTCTTGTGCCCGATGAGCAGCCTGCCTCGGACGGGCTGCTTTGCCTGTTACCCAGCCTGGTTTTACTGGTTTTACTGACTTTGCATCTACTGCCCAGCTAGATTCCATTAATTCTATGCCTGCTACTCAGCTGGATTTTAATGCAAAGGATGAGTGTCCACCTGCTTATGGGTCTGAATTCCTTGAGTCTTCACATGCCTTATATGAATTACCTGCTTGGCCTGAGATTATTTTTATGGTTGCCTCGGTTGAGCAGTGTGTTGCTCCTAGGGTGCCAAAGCTTGCTGGTCCGGACACACCCTAATAACTGGTAGCAGCATTTCCCTTCATGGTCCTGGTAGTGGTGAGCTTTCGGAGAATGTGCCCTGTTATGATCTGTATGTGATTGTCACAACTCTGGGGGCACTAGGGGACCAGGGTTGGGTAGCTAGTGCCTTGGAGAGACCTAGGGGGCTGTTGATATGCAGAGCAAGTCTGGGAAACCAGGAAAGCTACATGATTATGACAAGATATTTCAGTGTCAGAGTTCTGGTATTGTCATATGACCCCAGGGCAAGGCTTGCAGATAACCCATGGGACCCCAGTATTGGAGTACCTGCTGTTTTGAGGGATTCAAAGTATCAAATGTTGTACCTCTCCAATAATCTGGCCAACAGGACACCCAGTCGGTTGCTTGACCCCAGCGGTGGAGTACCCATTAAGTCACTTTACCCAGGGCGTGGGACACTTTGTCTATTGGTTGATCTTGGCAGCAGGGCATCTCACTTGGAACCCAGCACTTCTTCAGCCTATGAGGAACTTTTTCTCTGGACTTGTTAAACAGATGGTTATCTTTCATGGACTCATTCAGCTATGGCTGGTTGGAGAATCCAGAGGCCACTCCTTAGAGAGGGGGAACTGTCAGGAAAGTGGTTCCCCTGCTGGTGACACTGTGGCTCTGAGTCCGGTGTCCACCAGTGGCTGTCTCTCAGCAGCCAGAAGCTCA